AATAGTAGTTCCATCTTCCATGCTTAAGATGGGCCTGTGAGTTGATTTTGGGCCATCTGTGCAAGGCTTTTACTAGTGAAGCCCATACCTATCTGGATCTGATTTTAAAGTGTGATTGTGACAATGGGTTGGAACAGTGTCAAAACCCATATCTGTCTCGTGGGTTGGGCGCAAATCACGCAAGAGTCTGGTTGAAGATCCAAAGCATAGTGGATACAGCATATCCGGGCTCACATGGGTTGGAGTTGGACGCAGAGCCCATATGGCCATCTMGAATAATCTGATTCCAAAGTGAAAGTGAGATTGCATAGTTGAACTTGAATGTGACAGTGCTGAAGAGGGAGGAAGACTCCGGCATCCGGCCAGTGGTGAAGAGGCTTTGTGGAAGATTTTCTATTTGAGAATTTGTGTCAGTGCTGCTGCTTTAGTCGATCATGGATGAACAACAGATAGCGATTCTCCTCGAAGCGGCCTCTCGTTTCCCACGTCCTCAAGGTCTGTAAAACCCGCATTCGCAGTCAGAACGAATGTCTTTAGCTTTTTTTATTTTTTATTTTTATTCTGAAATTTTAAATACAGGGGTGAAGCTTTCATATGGAACGGCTGGATTCAGGGCAGACGCTTCGATCTTGTCGTCGACGGTGTTCAGGGTTGGGATTCTGGCAGCTCTGAGATCCTTGAAGACTCAGGCGGTTATTGGATTGATGATCACTGCTTCTCACAATCAAGTTTCCGACAATGGGGTCAAGGTGGCTGACCCGAGTGGTGGCATGTTGACCCAAGAGTGGGAGCCATTCGCTGACTCCCTCGCTAACGCTATTGATGCTGAAGATCTCGTCCGGGTCAGTTTACAGCCTTTTGGTTTTGAATCAATTGGTGTTGGTTGTAGTTTAAAAGCTGTTGCGCCGATTAAAACTCTGATCCCGGGACTTGATTTTGACTCTGGTTTGCTTATCTCGTAATTGGTATAAAAATTTTGTTCATGGCATTGAAATACTGAAAAATCTAGAAGGGCCCTTTTTATTTTTAGTATTGATTTTCCCACTATTTCTATTTTTTTCTTTTGTAATAATTCAGTATTGCTTGAGAGCTCAACCGAATGAGTGAATTTGCACTTTCTGGTGGACTCTCAAAACAGTTGATAATCGAGTTTGTGAAGAAGGAAAACATTCAATTTGGAGTGAAGTCTGCGGAGATATTGTTGGGAAGAGATACAAGACCTAGTGGAGAATCTCTCCTCGAAGCGGCAAAGCAGGTAAGAATAACCTTATCCACCGTTAATTCCATATTGTCTTATTTTAATTATTTACTATCTTGTATAACTTAGTCGTAATCTCCTTTTTGGATTAAAGGGAATCAATTCCATAGTTGGAGCTGTTGCCACTGACGTTGGGGTTGTCACAACTCCACAACTTCATTGGATGGTTCGCAGTAGAAACAAGGGAATGCAAGCATCTGAAGCTGCTTATTTTGAACAACTCTCGAACTCTTTTGGGTTAGTTCAATAGAAACTTGTTTGGATGTAGCATGTATATTGCATTTAAACCCTTAGTTGCTTAACATGCATATGGTATTAATTAATATAGGTGCTTGATGGATTTGAAGCCCAAGGAAACCACAGCAAATGTGATGGATGATAAATTGACTGTGGATGGAGCTAATGGTGTTGGTGGGGAAAAGCTTGAAGAATTGAAAAATTTTCTGAAGGAAATAGTTATTGACATCCGGAATTCTGGCAAGAAGGGCGGTGTTCTTAATGAAGGAGTTGGAGCTGATTACGTGCAGAAGGAGAAGGTTGTTCCACATGGTTTTGGTCCAAATGATGTTGGGATGAGGTTAGCTATCTAATCTGTGTGTTCAACTTCAAAAGTTATGTTACAGTACACTTCTTTTCGAAGGTTTCCATTATCCTTTAAAATACAAATACGGGATAAAATGCTAAAACTCAAAATTCAAGCAAATCTTTTTCATTAATTATTTGTTCAGTGGCCATAGAATTTGAGCTCAATTAGGCCTTTACCCCTACTATTAGGGATCAACTACATGAMTCTTATTTTGCCATTTCACCCTGTCAAAGGCCATGTTGTTTTCTAAGCCATGAGTATCTGGTTTGTTCTTGCTACTCCAACCCACCCCTTTCTTACCTTTGCTGTGGTTTAGAACTTTCAATTTGCATTAGATCACCCCTTATGGGTACAGGTGGTGGTCTTCTAAAGATTGGCATTTTAAAAGTGACAAGTGCAAATGATTCCTAGAGCTTGAGGTGCAAGATGCAATGCAGAGTATGCGTCTGAACAGAGGGGGCACCACTTTTGGACAAGAAAATTAAAAAAAAAGCTTAATATTTTTTTTTTGAATGGAGGTAAGGTAAATTTTATTCATGAAGATAAGATAATCTACAAGGGTGGGGGAAAAGCACAGGCCAGTTCACCCCCAAAGGATATGATCATAGATCCCACAGACTAAGCATCAAAAACAAGTTTTGATTCCAAAAATCAGGGATGATAGAAAACCAAGAAGCAAGTCTGGCCACAATACACTGGATTAACACCTCAGGCTCTTTCTTCTATTTTCTGAAAACTCTGCCATTCCTCTCTGACCATAGCCCTTCTAATAGTCAGATCATCAGCAAAGATCTAACCGAGAACTTTCCATCAGCAATCCAATTTCAGATCCATTGGTCTTCTGACAGGGGCTGAAAGGAAAATGTATTTAGGCTACTCAGCTAGTTCACAACTTCATCTACCTCTCAGTCTTGGAAATCTCTTTGGAATTTGGGCTTCCACACCACTTCACCTCCGACTAACTTGAAAGAGTCAGCAACCATTGCCTCTTTATCCTCAGCCACTGAGAATAACAGAGGAAATTTCTCTTCCAAAGATGCATCATCAAGCCATTTATCCTTCCAGAAGCSGATTCTTTCCCCATCTCCTAACTTGAAACTCACTCCTTTTAGGACACTAGGAAGTGTTTTCATTATAGCTTTCCATAATGAGCATCTGTATGAAGGCAAGTTGATAGTAGTTGTCCATTCCCTCGGTCGAAGACCATATTTGGATGCAATGAGTTTCCTCCACCAGCAGTTTTCTTCCACTCCAAATCTCCAGATCTACTTTTCCAATTAGGCTGTGTTGAAAGTTTTGATTCTTCTCAGTTCCAAACCACCTGAATTCTGTGGATCTTTTTTTCAGAGGTGGTGATAGGGTGGCTGCTTAAAGATCACAATGGCTTATGGAAGTACAATAATGAGAGGAGGAAATTCAAGTGGCTGGTGCGGGAGATGGAGGTTAAGATACGTTGGGTTAAAAGATCGGCTAATTCCCTAGCTGACGGTTTAGCTAAACAAGGGGCAGAAARGGATTCACTTTTTTGGGCCAAGCTGTAACTTTAGTGTGTTTTCTTTCTTTTCTCTTTCTTTTTTCCTTTTCTTGAAATTTTTTGTTGCTCTTGGAAGATAAGCGTGTTTGTCTTCCTTTTGTAAATCTTCTATTGATGAATTAATGAAAGTGTTATTGATCAAAAAAAAAATGTGGATCTTTTTTTCATCTTCCCACCCTTTCCATAAAAAGTCTCTTTGTAATTTTTCTATTCTCTTTGCTATTGTGCTAGGGATGGGGAAGAGAGATAGAAAATACGTTGGCAGATTTGCAAGAGTGCTTTTAATCAAGGTTACTCTTCCCCCTTTTTAAAGGTACTTTGTCTTCCAGGAAGTGAGTTTCCTCTCAAGTCTTTCTAACACCGGCTCCCAGATTGCTGTAGAAGAGCACTTTGCACCCAACGGAAGACCAAGATAGGTAGTTGGGAGCTTGTTCACTTTACAACCTAGAGCTTCTGCCCACACAACTATGTCTTCAATTCTGCCCACCAGAATCAGAGAAGATTTTCCCAGGTTCAGCTTTAGCCCTGTTATCACTTCAAACCAAGAAAAAATTCTCACTAGTGTTTCTAATTAAGCAAAAGAAGTGTCAATGAAACACAGTGTGTCATCAGCAAAGCAAAGCGAAGCACATTACCCTTTCACCCCCTGGATTAATTTCAAAGCCCTCCCAAAGACCAGCCTGTCCTGCCCGATTGATGAATTGGGTCAGGACTTCCATCACACAAAGGAAAAGAAGAGGTGACAAGGGGTCTCCTTGGCGAATGCCTCTTGAACTTTTGAAGAAACCAGAGGAATTTCCATTAATTATAACAGAAAATTTTGGTGAAGAACATACCTTCATCCAGTTTCTCCATTTCTAACTGAAGTTCATTTTTTCAAGATTGAAATTTAGGCATCTCCAATTCACATGGTTATAGGCTTTTTCAAGATCCACTTTACAAGAATTCCTGGTTTTCCTGCCCTCATTCTTGAATCAATCACTTCATTGGCAATTAAAGCACTGCCCAAGATTTGTCTTCCCCTAATAAAAGCACACTGATTTTCTGAAATTACACTTCCTAGATTCTTTTTTAATCTTTCAGCCAGCACTTTTGCAAGAAGCTTGTAGAAGCTATTCAGCAGGCTTATTGGCCTGAAATSTTTAAGGTTTAATGCCCCTTCCACCTTTGGAATTAAAGTAATGAAAGTGTCATTCAAACTTCTCACCAAAGAAGTAGAATCATGAAACTCTTGAAAAGCCTTTAATATATCAACTCTAATAACATTCCAGCATTTCTTGTAAAATAGATTTGTTAATCCATGAGGCCCCAGTGATTTATCCAAATCCATTTTCTTGGTAGCTTCCCAAATTTCTTCTTCCGAAAAAGGTTTTTCCAAATCCTCTTTTTGAGCTTCATTTAAAGTTTTAAACTGTATCCCTTTTGGCAGAGATTGGCTCTTCCAAGGCTCTAAAAACAGAGATTTGTAGAAATTTGTGGCAATAGTTTGAATTTCACTCGGCTGCTCCCCTATCTGACCATCAAATTCCAACCTGTTAATATTGTTTACTTTGTATTGTGCATTAGCCATCCTATGAAAAAATTTGGAGTTTTTGTCCCCCACCTTTAGCCACTTCATTTTTGCTTTCTGCTGCCAGCTTATTTCATCCTTATAAGCTAGTTTATGAAAGATGATATTTGCTTCATCTTTCTTTCTTCTCTCTTCTTCAGAAAGCACTCTCTGTTCTTCTAGTTATCCAATTCCTTGATCAGCTCCAGGCACTAACTTTTTTTGCTTAGTTGAAGCAGCTTTTCTGTTCTCCAATTTTTTTTGACAACCTTGATTGCCCCTTGTTTTTTTGGCCAGCACATAAGAACTTGTACCATCCACATGACTTCATCTCACTTCTCCACAATTAAATTCCTCAGCTTCTACTCTTCAAGCCAGC